GCCCAGCCTTCATGTCAGGCTGTGCTAACTGGGTGCTGTGTCCCTCTACCTCAGCCAACTGACCTAGTTCTCTGAAGGCCATTCAGTGGGTCCCCCTATTACCAGGCTGGACTTGTCCAGGCCCCTTGGCCGCTGAACACAGTTTCAATGTGGATACGCGTGTGAGAGCCGGGGGTTGTTTCTGAGGCCCGCTGGGCTGACTGAGGACCCTTCTCAACCACTGCTGCGTTTCCTGGCAGCCATGGCTTTAGTCCATTCTCGTGGGCTCCTGAGACACCTAAGCTTGTCCCAGCCCACTGAATTGTTTCTCCGGTCCCTACGCAGCTCAGATCACCAGTGGCTACCCTAAGCAGAGCCCAGATCATCCTGTGGGAGGGGGAACCAAGCTAATCTGCAGACCCTGTTTGCTGTGGGAGCTGGTGATGGGGTGGGTGCCCATGGACAGACCCAGCCTTGCTGAGTTTCATGACTTTCAATTCACCTCCAGGTTGGAGAGAATCTCTGGCATCCTTTCATGATGGAATTATTGTTATTATTTTGAATCGGTAACCTGGCTCAAATATCAAAACTATACAAAAGGTACACAGTGAAAAGTCTCACTCCTTTCCCTGCCCCCATTCACCCACTTCCCCTCCACCTACCAGTTTCCACACCAGTAATACTACCACTCTTCCTTCTTGTGCATCCTTCCAAGTTTTTTGTCCTGATTTTGTTTTTTTTAATTCTATTCTTTGTTTACCCCACCCTTTTTGTAATCAAAAGGTATCATGCAGTCAAACTGCTCTGCATCTTGCTTTTGGAGACCTTTCCGTTATTAGTTCCTGGAGATCATTCTCATTCTTTTTCAGAGTGGTATAATATTATACTGTATGAATGTGCCGTATTTACTTAATCTGTCCTCTATTGATGGACAAGGGGATAGTTTCCAGTCTTCTGCTGTTGTAACTAAGTAAGCTTGATTCTGTCTGTAAGCTAGATTCTCACAAGAGGGGTTACTAGGTCAGAGGTTATTTGCAATGTTAATAGACAGTGCCACATTGCCACCGTAGGGGGTCTTGCCAATCCAGCAAGGTCTGAGAACATTCAGTAACTTCCCAAGTCCCTTCCCTCTCTATCTACTGATGTCTCCTCTGTTCTAAATTGGACTCCTTGGAATGGTTAAATCAGTAAGTAAGGAGTTTGTGGGAGGGGCCCTATAAGATTCCATTAGCACTCTGGTCTCCAATCCATGTAGCATTTGTTGAGCCCCGTATCTTAATAGACTTTAGGAGCATGTCAGAGACTGGTGAGGGACAGTCCCAGGGCTTGTCTGGGCTATAGTTCACTGCTTTTCCTTGGGATGATGGTGCCAGACCTTGTCAGGGTGCGATGTCCACAGCAGGGTGCTAAAGTTAAAACTATTTCCACTCCTGCCCACTCCGAGTTGCAGTTCCCTGAGCCTTGCTGTCAGTTGGATAGGATGACAGAGTAGAAAGGGTACCCTGGGCTCATCCAGTACCATAGCTCCAAAGGCCACTGGAAGACCAAGGTGGGGAGTGAAAGGATCATGCTTGTTGAGTCATGCCTGTTTCTCTGTTTCAGTTCATTCACCCAAACCTTCCCATCCCAACTAGTGACCAAAAACAGTGTTGATTTTTATCAATTAGTACGTGTTTTTCTTATGTGAAGTGATCCGAATGATGTCAGGGCTGTCTCTCCCCTCTTTTGGGGCAACCAGAGTGGCTGCGGGTGGTGCTGGGAACCCTGAGACAGGGGCTCCTGAAACCTTCATGTCACGGCTGGGGACCAGGGCCCAGACAGCTCAGTTAGAAGGGGGATGATTTCGGCTGACTTGGTGCTTTGGCTGTGATGGGCGTCTCCTCCAGGGGCCTCTGTGTGACCTTCTCCCTGGAGAAGGGTGCTTTTTGGTCTGTGAGAGGGCCTCCTGGGGAGCACAGACAGCTGGAGAGTCGGGCATTATTGCTGATAGCTCTACAACTGCAGTTCTGAGTGTGGTGTTCTCTGTATGTGGGGAGAGGCCAGGGGGATCTCTGTACTTGCATATCTGTAAGTGTCGATCAGTGGAAGTGTCTGTGGTTCCTCTCAGCTCAGAAGTCTTAGAGCAGGGTTTTAAAACTTTCTGGGATCAGATACCCCTTTTAGAAACTAAAAGCCAAGGATCCTTTATCCAGAATAAAAACATTCACCTAAGCATGCAGAAACAGACCAGTGATTCTGTGTGCAGTTTTAGGGGGTCTCGAAGGTCTAGAAGCCTATCAACAAACCCTCTTAGGAGAGTAATTCTCAATTATATATTATCAGTGTTATTATATTATTATTTTGCCTACACACTGCACACAGTGACGTGCTCCTTCCCTGTGGGGGACAGCCCTGTGGGAATGCGGAAGGACTAGTATAGTTTGAACAACTAACTGGCCAAGGAGCCCATGGAACCAGCTTAGGAATACCTGGCATAGAGGGTCGTTTACTTTGCTTGGAACGTAGAGAGTTGAGAAAGATTTTTCCCTCTGCAGACGTCGCCTGGCACCTTGCCCGGGTTTCACAGAAGGAACTTAGGGGCCATGGGGTGAGTGGGGGCACTGGGTGTGTTGTTTGGGCTTCTCTCAATATTCCCTACTTGCAGTAATTGCTGAGGAATGCCTCCACCCACCCCAGAGAACCCTGAGGCCTGTGCTCACAGTCTTCCTGGCAGGCTGGGTGAGGCCAAGCTGCTGCCTGCATCCCCAGCCTCCCCAGCCTCCCCAGCCTGGCTACATGGGCAGTCGCCTGGGGAAGGTAGGAAAGCTAATGACACATTATCCCGGCAATTAGTCACGTCACCAAGGCACATGATTCTCTGCAGGACTGGTGCCGCCTGCTGCTGCTCTGGCCTTGTTCAGTGCTGCTTTTCTCCCACTCTGATCGGGGAGTGCCACCCCAGGAAATAGTCACCCCCTTCTTCCAGCTGTGGACTTGTAGCTGCAGCAGCCCCAGGACCAAGAGACTATGACAAAAAGGTCACTCACCTATGTACCTCAGGGCCACGCAGGACCTCCAGGGACCAAGGGGACAGCCATGGAGGGGAATATGTGGACACTTAAGCAAAGATTCCCCCACATGTCCCCTACGCACATGATACCTGTGGATACATCTGTCTGCGTATGCATGTGCTCATCGATATATGAACATGCCATGAAGGAAAGGCTGCAACTTGTGAAATAAAGTCCTCCGAGGCCTGAGCTCCCAGGAGAGGGAGGGGGTCCTGTCTTGTTTCCCCTTCCCTGGGATGCTCTCAGTGAACTGGCCAGCTTCCACATTGGCCCCAGGGACTCTCTCTAACTTCTTGACCTCAGTACAAGAGAAAGCCAAACAAAACTCTTTTATAGGTCATCAGTGACTGTCTGTCAGTAACAATGAAGGCAGAAAACAGGTGAGAGCCTCTGTTTTCAGTGATTATTTCCTAAGTCCAGGTTTCTTTTCTTTTTTTTTTTTGGCTACACTGTGTGGCCTGTGGGATCTTAGTTCCCCGACCAATGATCGAACCCATGCCCCCTGCAGTGGAAGCACAGAATCTTAACCACTGGGCCACCAGGGAAGTCCCCAGGTTTCATATTCTAACAACACTAGTCACAGTAAGCTTGATGGGGCCTCAGTTCCCCTGTTCCTAAGAGAATGACACCTCCACCCACCTCTGGGGCAGCCTGTGATTCTCTCTCTAGTGTGTCCTCGCCTCTCTCTGCCCATGAGAGGACTTGCAAAAACCCAGCCCTTACAGGTTAGCCATGGAACAGTATCTCGACAAAAAGAGGTTAGGAGTCAGGAACCGACTTGCATCAAGGGCCTCCGGCATGAGGGCTTTACATACGTCATCTCGTGTAACAATCCACAGCAGTCCTAAGAAGCCTCCCCCATTTCACAGATGATAAAACTGAGGCTCAGAGCATTAAGTCACTTACCCATGTTTTCCAGAAGTAGCGAGTGGCACCACGCGTCAGACCGTGTTCTGACTCTCCACCTCCAGCACAATCCCTGTAAAAAGAGTACCTGTGAAGTGAGGGGAGGCCTCCTCCCACCTGTGGGCCCCCACCCCCCGTCACACCTGGAGGAGGTGAAAGGGGCTGAGCCAGTGTTTGGGGCCCTGTGTCTACGCCCAGCTCTGCCACTCTGTGACTTCGAATCAGCTCTCTTCCCCTTTCTGGGCCTTTCCTTCCTCGGCTGGAAAACAATCAGCTTGTCCTCAATAATGGCCAAGACCCTCCTTCCCCCACACCTACACACTAAGTTTTTTAGAATCTGTATGTGCCCAGGGCAGCTCCCCACCCTCCCCCACCAAGCCCTTCTTTCCTTCCTATGGGGCCTGTCTGCTGAAAGCAGAATCCAGACAGAGAGTGTAGGCCTAGCCCCTAAAAACATGAATGAATGAAGGGAAGCCCTCCCTGCATGGGAAGTAGAAATCCCTCACTGTCGGCTGCAGGGCTCGTCAATAATTCAGGGCTGCTGTCAGGTCCGATCTCTGCAGTGGCTTCATCAATATTTCAGCTCCTTCTCCAGAGCCTCGTTCCTTAGCAACCACATCATCTCTGCTCTACAGGAGGGCTGCCAGGCTGTGTGCTCCCTACATCCCCTGTCCTGTAGGAGCTGTCCGTGCTTGCCCTCATGGGCAGGGGGTGGAGCCACCCATGCCAACTGGCACTGGCAGCTTTGTCCTCAGAGCCTCGGGGCGATGCTGCATACAGGAGGCACATACATACCAGATGAGAGAGAGGGACAGGGACGGTGTGGCACAGCAAAGCCCCCGCAGGTCCACCCTGGGCAGGAGCGGGGTGGGGCCCGCGGGAGCATTTTGGAGAGAGGTCAGGGTATGTCTCCGTGGCCTGTCTTAAGCCCGAACCTCACCCCCTAGTCTTAGCAGAGCCAGGGCCTGCCCTCGCCTCTCTGCTCTCCATAGTTATGGGGGAGGGGAGTGTTTCTCTCTCTCCCGCTCTCGCCCAGGCTCAGCTGCTGCTCCCTTTGTGGCCCAGGTGCGGTGGAGGCTTGCCTCCTGCATCAGCTGAGGCGCCGTGCCGCCGGCTTCCTGCGCAGTGACAAGATGGCAGCCCTGTTCACCAAGGTGGGGAAAGCGTGCCCAGTGGCTGGGGAGGTTTGCCACAAGGTGCAGGAGCTGCAGCAGCAAGTAGAGGGCAGGTGAGCCCTGAACCAGCCCCTCCCATGCCTCCCTTCTGCTCTTTCCATTTGCTGTTTCTTGCAGGGCCTCACCTCTCGGATGACGGGCCAGCCTAAGGGTGGGGGTGGGGGGTGGCCCTTTCAGGCACAAGGTCCTGTCCACCACCTCCAACCCCCCATCCCAATCAGTCCTCTGGGTTCTTGTCTTGCAGCTCCAAACTCCGCTCCCAGTGCCACCAGTCTGCGATGAGGCTTACCCCCAAGCCCTCCCACTCCTGAAGCCCACCCCCTCTTTGCAGGAAACCCTTGGCGGGCAACCAGGAGACCCAGCAGAGACAGGGCTCTGCCAGTGGGAAGGCCCCAGCCCTCAGCCTGCAGGCCTTGAAACACATATGGGTACGCACAGCGCTCATCGAGAAAGTGCTGGACAGGGTCGTGCAGTACCTGGTGGAGAACTGCAGGTGACTGCCCCTCCCTGAGCCCCCCCTCCCTGTGCTGGACTGCCCACCACAGCCCACAGGCATGTGCCGTCCCCCCGTAGTACCCCGAAAGCAGAGACCACACCAGGCACCCCACAAAGCTCTGTCCTTGTGGACTCATTTCTTCTTGGTAACTGACATGAATTTGATCCTTGTGGGGATGTATCTCCTTGGTGAGCTTGATGGCCATGGAATGAGTTCTGGAGCCCCAGTGGTCACCCTGTCTGTCTCTCCCTTGGCAGCAAGTACTACGAGAAGGAGGCGTTACTGGCAGACCCTGTGTTTGGCCCCATCTTGGCCTCTCTTCTAGGTAAGCCTAGTAGCAGACAGGCCTGCGCTGGGCCAGTGGGGGCTCCAGGGCAAGTGCTGAGGGGGCACCCCTGAGCTGGCTGTCCCTGTCTCCACAGTGGGACCCTGTGCCTTGGAGTACACCAAGCTCAAGACAGCTGATCACTACTGGACCGACCCCTCGGCTGATGAGCTGGTCCAGAGGCACCGTATCCGGGGTCCCCCGAATCGCCAGGACTCCCCTGCGAAGCGCCCAGCCCTAGGAGTAGGTGTCACTCTTCCCACCCTGTGCTCACCCAGGATATGCCCCTGGGCCTTTAGGGAGGAGCAGCTGGGCTGTGTGCTCCTGGCAGATATAGGCTGGGCCTCGGAGATGCCCAGGGTAGTGGCCACCGCAGGAGAGCCTTTTCCCCACACTGGCGCTCACATAAATGCCAGGAGCAGAGAGCTGGTCCGTGGCTGAGAGCAAACTGGGGACAGGAAGGACCCTTGGGGTCAGCTAGAGAGGGTCTGCAGGGAGGCCTAGGGCTGACCCCCACGGCTGACTTCCTGGGGCTGAGGGCAGAGCCGTGACTTTGTGTGCAGATCCGGAAGCGGCACTCAAGTGGCAGCGCATCGGAGGACAGGCTAGCTGCCTGCGCCCGTGAGTACGTGGAATCCCTGCACCAGAACTCGAGGACACGGCTGCTCTACGGCAAAAACAACGTGCTGGTACAGCCGGTAGGAGAGCCTAACGCCCGGCCCTCCTCTTCCTTTTCCAAAGGCACCAAGACCTCCAGCCACATTCATGCCTTTTCCCAGGGGCTTGACTAGAGAGAAGGGGGAGAAGGGCCCCACCCCCTACTTCACTGTTTCATAGCCTCACGCCCAGCCTTGAGCTGGCAGGAGCCAGGAATGGCATCTGCTCTGGCCAGCTGAGAACCAGGCCGTCCGGGAGTAGGAATGTCAGCCAGCAGGCAGGGTGAACGCCCAGCTTGGGTATGGCTGGCCCGGACACGCCTGGCATCCAGGAGGCTGACAGGACAGAGCCAGTGGCCCCAGGCCAGCCAGGGGAAGGAGGCACCCACATCTGCGTGTGGCACGTGATGCCCCCTACTTCCTCCTGGCCCCCAGTCCAGGATCCTGTGACTGGCCTGGCCTGGCCTCCCTGCACGCACCTGGAGCTCCTTTTCCATAGGCCATCCCCAGGAGCCTCTCAGGCCCTCATCTTCTCCGTCTTCTGGTGTGTCTGCTCCCTGCAGAAGGGGGACGTGGAGGCTGTCCCTGGCTACCTCTCCCTGCACCAGTCTGCAGGCAGCCTGACTCTGAAGTGGACCCCCAACCAGCTCATGAACGGGACTCTGGGGGATTCCGAGCTGGAAAAGAGGTGGGGGCTGTGGGACTTCCTCCAAGGAGCCTCGCTCCCGGGCGGGGGATGGCGAGACCCAGCCTGCTCCAGGGGGCAGGCCTCACTCCTTATCCGATGCCAAGAATTGCAGGGGGAGGCAGCCTGGACAGGTTCCCGAGCTCTCTAGGACTGAGCCGGGCCTGGGCACGGAGAGGTTTGCCTGAGCCAAGCTCTGGGCAGCTGAGACTGCCAGGCTCTGTGCCATGAGGACAGCGTGGGGCCCAGAGGGACAAGGTGGCTGGCCGAGGTCACATTCTCGGCTACGGTCAGGGTACTAATAGTAGTACCCTGAATACTACTATTCTGGGTAGTCTCACGGGTGTTGGGGCCGGGAGATGAGGAAGGTGGGATGGCAGGTCTTGGGACACAGCGACACCAAACTGGTTCCTTTCCAGCGTTTACTGGGACTACGCCCTTGTTGTGCCCTTCAGTCAGATTGTCTGCATCCACTGCCACCAGCAAAGTGAGCCTCCCCTGTCCTGGGCACGGGGGTGAGGGGAGAGAGCCTGCGCCGTGCACGGACTTCCTGTCCCCCTCCTTCCGTCCCCACGCTCCCACCCCACTGTCCTCCTACCCAGCCTCACTGGCCCACATTCACCCCCCAGAGAACGGCGGCACCCTCGTGCTGGTGAGCCAGGATGGCATCCAGAGGCCACCACTGCACTTCCCGCAGGGGGGCCACCTGCTGTCCTTCCTGTCCTGCCTGGAGAACGGGCTTCTGCCTCGAGGACAGCTGGAGCCCCCACTCTGGACCCAGCAGGGGAAGGTACCTCGGGGCTTGGGAGGCTCTGGGTGAGGGGGTGTGTGGGGTGGGTTCCCCGCCCACCTGCTGGCCTCCCGTCCTTTCCCCACACGGAGCTCTTAGGAGCAGCCTAGCGGGGTGGGGTGGGGGCGGGGGGGCCGTGGATTGGACCCCGCCCTGGGCAGGCTGACCACCCACCCCTCTCCCCGCAGGGGAAGGTGTTCCCCAGGCTACGGAAGCGCAGCAGCATGCGGTCCGTGGACGTGGAGGACGTGGGCTCGGGGCGGGCCACCGACTACGTGTTCCGGATCATTTACCCTGGCCACAGGCACGAGCACAGTAAGTGTCCCAAACGTCATTCGTGGAGGAAGAGAGAGGTGGGGGTGTAGTGTCACCCGGGGGCCACAGGCAGGGTCCACTGCCCAGGCCCGGTTAACCCAGGCAGGTCTTTACTCAGCCTCTCACCAGACCTTCCCCCCCACAAATCATCCCTCGGAGAAGTGGCCTCTTGTCTACCTAGCTGTCTTCTCCCCACCTCGTGACCCCAGGCTCTTGGCTCAGCTGACCCAGGTGTCGCTGTACAATATTCTCTTGGTCATCCTTTCATGCCCTGCCCCAGGGAAAAAATGTGGTGAGACTACACATAGAAGGTGGAGAACTCTTGGTTTCTTTTCAGCCTGCCACCTGACCCCCACAAGGCGGCCTGGGTGCAGGGTCAGCGCGTCTTTATAGATGGTGCAAATTGTTCACTGACTCTGCTAGAGCCAGAACCCTCCCCCAACCAGCTACTGATGAGGGGAGCATTAGCAGGAGTAGGGGGGCGTCTGGGGTGAGATTTGGAGCTGCAGTGGGAATCTGTGGGGCCAGGAGTTGAAAGGTGACTTGACCCTCATGGGTCCTGCCCCACGTGGACATAACCCCTCTGGGCCCCAGGGGGCTTGTCCATAGGCATCTACCAACACACGAGCTCCCTTTCTGGTCAGAGCACTGCTGTTGCCCATAGGTTTCTCCAGGCCAGAATGGCTGATCTCAGGGATAAGGTCAGGGAATTTGCCAGCCCAGAGCATTTATTGCCAGCCAGACCACCTGCTCCCAAAATGTGCTAACTCGTGCCAATAAGCTGTTGACAAGTTGTGTCCGTATTAGTGGACAGATTGCCCAGACTGCAAACACACAGCCACAGCGTGAGTTCTCTGTTAACAGGCTCGGAGGGCAGGAGACCTGGGGCCCCCTTCCCTCCCAGGAGTGCCTGATGAAGAGAAAGAGACTCAGCTTTGGCCAGAACGTGTTTGCAGACCTGGCATTTAATCTCAGGCTCTTGCTTGCCTCAGATTTTGTAGCTTCCACTTGCCCTCTTCAAGCCTTGGTACTTCCCAGTTCCAGTCACTTCAAGGAGCTGAAGCCCAGCGGGGTGACTCAGGCTCCTGGAGAGCAGCTCTGGGAAGCCCTTAGAAGTTCGGGTTTATAGTCTGAAGCGGGGGATTTGGGGTAACCCTCAGATGTGGTTCAGCTTGACCATGACACGAGCCAAAGAATGATTGGGATCCATCTGCCAGCAGTCATGCCCCGCCTCAGCCAGGGCTGGGGAGTCCCTGTCTTTCACTACCCTGGCGCCCCCATCAGTTCTCTCTCTTCTGTTCTTCCTAGAGAGGGCATCCTCCAAGAGTGGAGCTCTGGAGCTGCCGCCGGGTCCTCACCTTCTTCCATACTTTGCCCAGTAACTCATCTAAAGACTCTCAGGTCCCCCCTTCCCCTCTTCCATGCCCTGCAGGCTCAAGGTGACCCAGACTCCATTCTGCTCTCCCTGAGGAGGGAGTGCAGACCCTCCTGCCCCGGGACTAGGGTCCTCATGCCTCTGCATCTCTGCTATTCTTTTTGAGCAGTCACTATTAACTACCACCACCTAGCGGCCAGCCGCGCGGCCTCGGTGGACGATGATGAGGAAGAGGAGGATAGACTACACGCGATGCTCTCAATGATCTGCTCGCGGAACCTCACAGCTCCCAATCCGATGAAAGGTTTTTATCCCTCCCCCTCTCCCTGACCCACCCCGTCCTCCCGCCCCACCCCCCTGGGCCCACCTGCCACCCACCGCAGGGGCTCAAATGGCAGTGTTGGCATTATGGGACTTGCACCCAGGAGGCAGATCAGGGAGGGTGGAAGGAGGTGCTGGCACGAGGGGACAGTACAAACTGCAGTTGACTCTGGGCTCCCCATTGAACATGAGGAGAGGGCTTTGCACCCGAGAGGGAAGAGATTGACTGGTGGGAAGGTCTGATTATCTGGTTCCCTGTTGGAAAGGAATGGCTCTCTGAGAGCCCTGTTCCCACTCTGGAGGGGTCATGCTGGCAAACCCAGGACAGTGTCTCTTTCTTTCTCTCCTGCTGGCTGGGAAGATGGGCCCTGTGCCTCTGACTCCTGACTTAACGGAAACAGAACAAAAGTACCAGGCCCCTCTTTAGCAGGGGTAGGGGCTGGACAGCTCATGGGGACAGGAGTCACCTGTGGTCAGGTGAGGGGTCAGGGTCACCATGGAAAGAGACCCAGGGCTCAGTTTACCCAGCTGGCACTTCAGCATGAAATCTAGAAATATCTGTGCCAAGGATATAAGACAGGTGTGTTCCCGCCCTCATGGACCTGACTCCAGGGTTACCAAGGCCCCCTCATTGGAAATGACAGGACAGTGCCCACAGCTCCTCTGTCTACCACTCAGTGCAGAGCTAGACTTGTAGAGAGGGACTGGTCAGGGGACCAGTGAGGGCCAGGCCCAGGTGCTCAGGGAAGATTGCTTCTGAAGGGCCGAGGCCACCTGTCTTGGAGTTTAGGGGAGGCTCCCCACCCCCACCATTCCCATGCCACAGGTGAATTTCTTTTTCTTCATTAAAAGTATTAATTGTCCATATAGGAGCTAGTGGGAAAAGCTTCGTCTCTCTTTTCTATACTCTAAGAATGACCAATTAAATATATAATACCCAACCTTTTAGGAGATGAGGGTAGGGTTTATACAACAAGTAGGAGAAGAAAGTTAAGACACCATTGTCCAGAATGAAGTGTCAACCCATCTCTATTTCATCAGACCTTAATGCAAACATGGAACCCTTTGATCCAATTGCCCTACCAAAGCACCTTGGTGCAGGGGGCATGACTGCTGTCCATAGCCACATCCAACTGCAGACATTATAGCCAACGCTCGGAAGTCAGTAGATTTCTATTAAATACACACACACACGCACACACACACCACACCCCTAATTTCAGCTTCTTTTAAATATTGGAACATTGAATTTGTGAGGTAGATTATTACAGTAATATCTTCCAATTTGTTTGCGCCTCCCTGAATCCATTTGAATAATTCCCTACCATTCTTCTCACTAATTAATTAATTTTTATTTTTAATTTTTTAAACCATTTTTTAAATTGAAGTATAGTTAATTTACATTTTTTTTTTTTTTTTTTTTTTTTTTCGGTACGCGGGGCTCTCACTTCTTTTGCCTCTCCCGTTGCGGAGCACAGGCTCCGGATGCGCAGGCTCAGCGGCCACGGCTCACAGGCCCAGCCGCTCCGCGGCACATGGGATCCTCCCGGACTGGGGCACGAACCCGTGTCCCCTGCATCGGCAGGCGGACTCTCAACCACTGCACCACCAGGGAAGTCCCTAATTTACAGTGTTGTGTTAGTTTCAGGTACACAGCAAAATGATTCAGTTATATATATATATTTTTTTCTTTTTTTCAAATTCTTTTCCATTATAGGTTTTTACAAGATATTGCATATAGTCCCCTGTGCTATACAGTAGGTCCTTGTTGTTTATTTTATATATAGTAATATATATATATGTTAATCCCAAACTCCTAACTTATCTCTCCCCTCTGCCCCTGGCCACAGATTAATTCCTTCTCCCCTTTCCCTGCCCCTACAGGGGGCGTCTAGGAATATGTGACACTCTCCTTATGCTTCCACAAAATTCTACCAAAGAACCCAGTTCCGTAGCTCAGCCACCAAGCCTGTAATGGGCGACCAAGTCCACGGCCTAGAACACACCTAGCACACCCTCAGCACAACTGCCAACTGCCCCCTTACCCATCACATTCCTGTCCTTGTGCCGGCCCTCGCTCCCAGCCCTTCCAGTGGGACCTGCAGGCCGGCTGGTGGGAACTCAGGGGAGCCTCCTCACTTGTCATGTTTTTTGCCTGCCACCTGGTCCCTTGCAAACCTGGGCTTGAGGCTGATGTTTATTTCCAGGTTAGCTGACTTGGAGCCGTGTGGGGAAGCTAAGTCAGGAGAGCCAGGGAGCCCCTTCTCGCCCCACAAATTATAGTCAGGCTGGAGGCTGTGGTGGGGCGGGAGTCCCAGTAGAGCCCCTAATTAGTGGATCTGGAGACAGGAAGCCATCCCTGGCTGCTCTTAAGAGCTGAGGCCTCCAGGGTCAGAGAAACTTACAGGGTCCAGAGGCCTCGGGGCTTGTTTGGGCATCCTCTTGGGGAACTCAGGGATCAGACCGACCCAGTGTGTAGCCCCTGGGACCCCAACACTTGAGAAAGGGGAGGAGGTGTGGAAGCAGAATCAGCAGGTGGCTGGGGAGATGGTATGGGAGCCCCCATCTCCACTCCAGTCCGTAATGACAACACTGTTGAGTCCGTTCTGCTAGCCGTTGCTTTCCAGGCCTGCAACATGCTTGACTTGTGCATGTGAATCAAGTGGCGGGTGTCCAGACTCTCCTTTCCCCCCTCTCCCCCTTTTCCCGCTGCCTCCCCACAGAGCAGAGATGCTGTTCACTCTAATTCTGCCCCAGGCCAGGCACCTTTCACTCGGAGTCTTAGGGGCTGTGGGGTTCAATCACCCTAATTGTTTTGCTTCAAACTTTCCTCACGCTCAGAGGAGAGAGTCAGAGTCAAAGCTGGCCCAGCAGACCCCCATCCAGCCTGCTGCCCCTCGCCCAGTCACTCCAGAGCTCCAGCTGTCTGCACTGGGTTAATTCAGAGATGCCGTGTTCAATGCTGGCTGGTTCAGCTCCTTCCTGGAGAATTAAGGTGAAGAGCATTGCCCCAGGAGTCTGCCTTGGTTGGGCCCTGCTTTCTGGGCATGAACTCGTTTCCCTGTGTGCCCACCCTCTGCACCTGGCAACCCCCTGCCTGCCCGCCTGCTACCTGCTGCCTACCTGGCTGGGCCTGCTCCTGCCACACACACCGCCCGCCCACCCCACCCCACCCCGGCTCTTCCCACCACTGGCCTCTCTCCTGCCTGCTGCAGGGGCCTGAGCTGGGCTCCTGCCCCATCCCACCTGCATTTGCCCCCTCCTTCTTCTTCCCAGAGTCTCAGGCATGGCTTGCAACCCCTCACTCCCAGAGCCGCAGCCCCTCCACACCAAGTGTGTTCCCTTAATTTGCCTCCTGGTGGAGCTGAAGGGCCAGATATCTATAAAAATCCGAGCCGTGGGTCTGGGGAGAGAGCCCTGGGGCCAAGACAGGGCAGCCCCTGAGGGGACTGGAGGGGGTCAGCTCAGCCCTCCCCACCAAGGCACACCCAGAGCTGGAGTCTGGCTCCCACAAAAACCAGGCTTAGGTCTGCTCCAGACTCATAGCAGGCCAGGGCCCAGGCCATAATTCGCAGAAAAGAACTACTGCTTGAAAGAAGTCTATCACACACACAGCTCTCTCTCTTTCCTTGTCTTCTTCACTCTTCTCTTTCTCTCCCTCCTTCCTGGCGTCATCTCCTGGTCCTTTCACTTTCTGCCCTTACTTTGCTTCATCTTTGTGGCTCACTGGACCTGCCAGAGTCCCCCACGAGCAGTGCCTGCCCCACGTGGGCCTTCGAAGCTCTCAAGGGTCTTGAGTTCTGATTCAGCCTAGCTGGGCCGGCTGAGGAGGCTTGGTCTGCTGTGGTGTAAAATTGTCCAAGGAGCTGTCTTCTGAGGCTGCACCGGGCACATTCTTCTGGATGGTGGAACGTGCGTGCCCAGCTGCCACCCTCATCCCCACAGTGGCCTGGCAGCCCTGGAAACTTTGCCCTTCCTGCCAGTTCACCTGCGTGTTTGCAGGAGGCCACCATGCAGTGCAGTCAGGCTAGGCAAGATTGGAGAGCTCACCCACTGCTGCGAACTTGGGGGCACCTGGCCTGGGCAGGGAGCACTGCTCCTGCTTAGCCACTGGCCGCCAGGTCTAGAACCCTCGGGGATGAGGTCTGTGGACCAGGACTGGTGGCTCAGGGGTCCTTCAGGGGCTTTGATCAGTGGGCGCTCCTGGCATGGGAAGGTTCAAAGTTTGCAATGTTCCAGGCACCTTCCTGCACATCCCAGAGTTTGCCCAAGAGGACCAGGCTGGATCCTGGAAGGCCAAGGCGGCTGGCAGCATTACAGAGAGCTCAGGCTTTTCTTGTTTCTTCTTTTTGCTCCTCCCTCTAGAAAAACAAGTGTCTATTCCATTGCTTATAGCAAGATGGAGAGAATAGACACAATCATCCATGACTCAGTGAAAGTATCTTACCACGTTCAGAAAGACTAGGTGGATGCTGGGAAGTGTCAGGCGCCCTCTCTCTCCACCACTTCCAACTCTGGGCTCTGGACCCTGGGCCAGGCAGGCACCACCCCTGTGGTTTTCCACCAAAGGGTGACTTCATGCTGCAGCTCTGGGCACAGAGGTGGGCATGCTGCAGGGTACCTGGGGGAGGAGACCTGCCGGGCCCTGACCATGGCCCCCTTCCTGCCCTCAGATGCTGGCGACATGATCGAGATGCAGGGCTTTGGACCCAGCCTGCCAGCCTGGCACCTGGAGCCCCTGTGCAGCCAGGGCTCCTCCTGCCTCTCCTACTCCACGAGCAGCTCCCCATACGTACCCCCCAGCCACTGCAGCTGTGTCCCCGACCGGTGAGTGGGTGTGTCCATCCGTGTGTATGTGTCCGTCTGTCCTTTGGGGCTGTGCCACTTGCCTGAAGGGTGATCTCTAGTTGGACACACCTGGGTTCGAAGTTCACTTCTGCTCCCCATGTGACTTTGACAAGCTGCTGAGTCTCTCTGAGCTTCTCCATTTCTGAGCCTCAGTTTCCTTATCTGTAAGATGGGGATAATACCCCCTTCTCCCTAAGGTACTTGTGAGGACTGAATGAGGTATATGACCCACGTGAGTGCCCAGAGCTGTGCCTGGCACAGAGCAAGTGCTCAGTACCTGGAGCTCCCCAGGTGGACCTGGATCCTGCCGTCAGGCTGCCGTCTGAGGACACTCAGCAGGTATCTGGGCATCTGCCACGTGCCAGGAACAGTGTGTGAATGGCATTTGCTTGAGGGTCACGTGCCCACACTTGATGCTTGCCGACGGCTTTTTCACCAGTTGCACCTGTTGACTCTCAGATGGCTCTCTCCATTTTCACATGAGGAAACCAAGATTCACTAACAAGAAGTTAGTTGCCCAAGATCCCCTGGGTGGTTGGGGGCCAGGCCGGGCCCCCAGCAGCTCTACCCAGGGTAGCTGGCAGGGCCAGGGAGCCCTTGACATGCTTCTGGGTTGTAGATCCGGCTCCCTGCCCCACCCGCCCTCTGAGCCAGAAAGTCCTTCCTTCTCACGCTTCCCTCCAGAGGAGCAGCCCTGAGTCAGGTTGATTCCACAGGTTGCCCCTCAGGCTGCTGTGTGAGAGCATGAAGAGGCAGATCGTGTCCCGGGCCTTCTATGGCTGTGAGTGTGGGGTGAGGTGGGGCCGCAGGGGGTGGGAGCAGGGGCAGGGGGAGGCACCGGGACAGAGGGTCACGGCCTCCCGGCTCCCCCCTCCCCGCCCCCCACAGGGCTGGCATACTGCCGCCACCTGTCCACGGTGCGGACCCACCTGTCAGCGCTGGTGCATCACAACATCATCCCACCCGCCCGGCCACCTGGGGCCTCGGGGGGCCTCACCAAGGACATGTGGAGCAAGTATCAAAAGAACGAAAAGGTGCACGCTCCGGGGTGCCAGGGACCGAGGCTGGCTCGAGGGGCTGGGGGCCAGCAGGGAGAGCAGACCAGCCTGCTCTGTGAGTGGCTTTCACAGACTACATGGGCATTCAGGTAAAAGGTGGTCCAGGTTCAGAGGTGACAGGCCAGGACTGATGGCCTTGGAGTGCCTGGGTCAAGGTAGAGTCTCACAACTAGACCTGTGGGTTTCCACAGGAAGGGGACTGGACAGGAAGTCCATTCTGCTTCTGCATTACTCCACGACCTTGAGGAAACCCCCTCGTCTCCCTGGGCTCCTTTTCTGCCCTGGAAGGAAGCAGGGTTGAAGTAGATCTGCATCCAGCTCTAGTCTGGGGGCAGGGAGGATGTGACGGTCCCAAAGCCGGGTTTGCCTGGGTTTCAGCAGAGTGACCAAACGAATCACCGTCCCCAGCCCCAGCTCTCAGGGCATGGGGTCGCCGAGCTGGGCTTCAGAGACTGCAGGGGCTGCATAGTCGTTCCCCCCTGGGTCCCTCAGAACTACAAGGAGCTGGAGCTGCTGCGGCAGGTTTACTCTGGCGGCGTGGAGCACGAGGTCCGCAAGGACGTCTGGCCGTTTCTGCTTGGCCACTACAAGTTTGGCATGAGCAAGAAGGAGATGGAACAGGTAGGTAGGGAGATGGGGAGCCAGGCCATGGGAAGCAGGGAGGGGGCCTCAGAAACCTCAGCCTCTTCCCAGCCAGAAAGGAACAGGGCAGAGGAAGATGTTAGCAGGGGGCCCCACTGTCTTCACCCCGAGGCCCGACCCTAGTCTCCAGCTGTCCCAGGAGGACACGCTGTGGTCACGCTGTGGTCACGCTGTGGTCTGAGTACAGGTGGACACAGTGGTGGCAGCGAGGTACCAGCGGGTGTTGGCGGAGTGGAAGGCCTGCGAGGTGGTGGTGAGGCAGCGGGAGCGGGAGGCTCACCCAGCTACGCTCACCAAGTTCTCCTCAGGCAGCAGCATCGACAGCCACGTGCAGCACCTCGTCCACCGAGACTCCACCATCAGCAATGACGTGAGCCCGAGGGGACCTGGGGGCCAGGGGCGGGGCCACCAGCGCTGTAGGCCTGCCCTCTAGTGTTCGCTGGCAGTGGAGCCCTGGAGAACAGCTTAGTGCGTCTGTGTCTCATTTTCTTCCACTGAAAAATGGGATGATGGTCCCCTGCTGCCCACTTCTCTGGGTGTTGCAGGAATAAAATGACATGGCGCACTGTGTTCTGTTCTAATGGACTAGCAGAGGAGGATAAATTTATGGGGCATTAGGGAGGCTCTCCCTCTTTGTAGAGAGAGCTGAAGGCTAGGAATGGGCCTCCCTAGGTTCTAGTCCTAGGTCCACTAGTGACAAGATGAGTGACCTCTCTTCCCATCTCTGGGCCTCAGTGCCCCCTCTCAGCTCTACTCTCCTCTGATTGCAGAAGCTCCTGCAAGAGCTGTTGGCCAGAGACCAGGGGAGCACTTAACAGCAGTCCCACCTTATAGAGTTGACTATGCAAAGCCAGTTCACAGCCTGTGTGGTTCTTCTGGCCTCACCCCTGACTTTTAGGTGAACATCAAGTCCCAAACTATGTCTGCTGGGCCCAACCAGAACTGATAAGTTTCAGGACATTGTTTCATTAACTTACGTTTTTTCTTTAAAACTGCCTCTTTAGATAGTGTATATTCTTGTTACTTAACTCCTTACTAATACTAACAGATAACTCAAATTGGAGCAAGACTTAAAGAAATATAACCAAGGTACACTCTCCTTTCCATGGGCTTTGTTCTTAATCCCCTATTTGTGAACATAACACTCTTTCTGCTTTGGGTTTTGTAAAATCCTGAGTCTGTACCAATGCCCCAGCTGCTTAGCTTATGGACTCAAGTATCCTTTCTCACTGGCACTATTCTGAGGCTGTGAATTGCCTCAGAATCATGGCCGTACCTGACACTAACCCAACAGTGCTTCATGCTTCTTGCCCAAAGTGAAAAGTCTTTTTAAGCATTCGCTTCCCTACATAGTCCAAATAGAAAAACAAAACGAAACAAAACTGTCTGTATATGTCTCTTCTTTTCCCTGTGACTTATCTGTGGGAGTGTGGACTGTTTCAATCAGTAGAATATGTTTCTTTTCACTTCTTACCTCTCCTCAGTTTGTCTGCAGCTAATATAACCAATTAGGTATTTGCTAGAGAGGTTTCCTGCCTTCTACAGAACATTCAGTACTGAAAATAAGGAAGAACTTATTTTTCCTAACACCTCCAGTCTGCCGCATCCATAGGCTGCCCCAGAGGCCACACCAAAGACACTATGGAAGCTGTCCTGACCCGAGGCAGCCTCATGACTTCTGTGTTTTTAGAGTGACACTTACGCTGGCCATCGAGCGTCCAGGCCTCCGGTTCCCCTTCTTCCCTGCAGCAGCCACAGGAAGCGCTTCACACTTTTTCTCACCAGTGTGAGACCAGATGGGGCTGGAGACGGTGTTTTCATGTTTTCCTGGAGCCTGGTCAGCTGGGTCAAAGGGGGCACTTGGCACCCGGGGGAGGCAGTGCTAGAGGCCGTGGGGTGGGAGTGGGGGTGTGAGGAGACTTCTCCATCCCTCTCAGTTCTGACCCAGGAAGGAGATGCCGAGCTGAGGGACGGTGCTGGAGTGCAGGTGTGAGCCCCGCCACCTTTGCCCCTACCAGGTGTTTGTCTCTGTGGATGACCTGGAGCCTCCAAGGCCCCTGGGCCCCGAAGATCCCAGACCAGAGCCTGAGCAGGGGGCGGGGGCCGGGCCCACTGGCACCACCACGGTGGAGCAACAGTCGGTGGAGTTCGACTCTCCAGACTCAGGACTGCCTTCCTCCCGCAATTACTCCGTGGCCTCGGGCATCCAGTCGAGCATAGATGAGGGCCAGAGCATGGGCTTTGAGGAGGAGAACGTAGGTGGGGAGGAAGGCTCTGACGGGCTGGTCCCTGCAGCCCAGGTCTCCAAGCCTCAGGACCCCAGCCAGGAGGCCTCGCGGGCCAGCGAGCTGGAGGCCGGGGAGGAGCTCGCCGCCGTGTGTGCTGCTGCCTACACTGTATGTGGTTGTTCCCCAGGCACTGCTCTCGGCGGCCCCGGAGGCTGGGGCTAGGGGCTGGCGGGGTGGCCTGGACTGTCCTGGAGGGAGGCACTGAGCCCATCTCTCAGCAACCCCACAGGACTCTGTTCTCTGAGTCCCTTGGTTCCCTGCCTTTGCTGCCTTCCTTTATTCGGGCATCACCTCCAGCCCCCAACTCACCCCTGAGGGCCCTCCGCTCCTCCAGATAGAATTACTGGACACCGTGGCCTTAAATTTGCACCGCATAGACAAGGATGTGCAGCGATGTGACCGCAACTACTGGTACTTCACACCCCCCAACCTCGAGCGGCTCAGAGACATCATGTGCAGGTGCCACGGTGGGGCTGGGCTCCGTGGGAGGCAGGGACCCTGCTCTGTGAAAGGTTAGGCCCGGCAGCGCCCTGCTCCCCTGCCCTGTCCCTGACCCACGCTTGGCTCCCTCTGTCTGCTGTGCCCCCCACCCCACCCCCTCGTCATTCTCGAGGTCTTTCAGATCTCAGCTTTGGCCATGCTTATCCAGGAAGCCTTAGAGGACCCCCACCCAGCATGTCAGGTGGTGATGGCCTGTCCAGTCTCTCTCCCTGAGCCCCTGAGGGCCTTGAGGACAGAGGCTATGGGTTGGTTGCCGTCGTGCTCCAGTGCTTTAGGGTCGCAGAAAGTCTGACCTCTGGGGAGCAGGCTGCTCTAGGGGCCGTCTCCCCAGGAGTTCCTGAGGGGAGGGGAGGATGGCACACACCCACAGTGACTCTCCCTGGCATTTCAGCTACGTGTGGGAGCACTTGGACGTGGGCTACGTGCAGGGCATGTGTGACCTGCTGGCGCCCCTCCTGGTTGTCCTCGATAATGGTGAGGAGGGGGTGTTGCATTGGGCCTGGGCTGACCCAAGCTGGAGAAAGGAAAAGGGGACGGCATGGTCTTCATGGGTGGGCATGTGAACCGGCCCTGTCCCCCTGCGGACTGAGGCTTTGGGGTCTCCTGCCTTGCCGGCCTCACGCCCACCTCCCCACAGACCAGCTGGCCTACAGCTGTTTCAGCCACCTCATGAAGAGGATGAGCCAGAACTTCCCCAACGGGGGTGCCATGGATGCCCACTTTGCCAACATGCGCTCCCTCATCCAGGTGAGGCTGGCAGCAGCCCGGGGGCAAGTGACCCGGCAGCGCTGGGCTTGTTCATCAATCCGCGGGGAGACCGGGGAAAGCTCCCAAAATGTTTCTTACGTGCCCCCACACACACCATTTTCAACCTTACTAATTGAGGAGTGTCGGCGTGTGAACGCTTGTGCTCGTGGAAGTTCTGGCGAGTCGCGTGGTTGATGATGAAATCACCCGGAATGTGGCGTCATTCCAAAGAGTACATCCCAGAGAGACAGGTGGGGCTGCAGAGGGCAGCCTGGACGGGAGGGGCGGGAGCAGCTGCTAGGTAGGCAGCCAGGGAGGCCCCGCGGAGGGGCCTGGGCGGCAGGGTGCTGGGGAGAGGCAGCACGGGTTCAGTCTGGCTCCCGTTCTCCACTCAAACCAGATCCTGGACTCAGAGCTGTTTGAACTGATGCATCAGAATGGAGACTACACCCACTTCTACTTCTGTTACCGCTGGTTCCTGCTGGATTTTAAGAGAGGTAAGAGGCGGGCTGGAGAGTGCGCCTGGGGTCAGGGGCGGTGGGAGATCCCTCTTCCCCGAAGTCAGTGGTTCTCAACCCACACTGTATTTTAGAACCCCCTGAGGAGCCCTGGGCCCCACCCAGCCCCAGACTTCCTAAGTGTGGTGATTTGAAAAGCCATTAGGTGAGTCCACAGTGCAGCTAGGGTTGAAAATCACCCAAAGGCAATGGTTTTCAGAACTGTTTTCGAACCAACTCTTCCCGAGCACCAAGGCCTATAAAAGGCTGCTCTGGTGCGACATGGCCTCTGCAGGAGGCCAGTGTGCAGGAACTACAAGGGCGAAGGGTGGGGCCTTGGCCTGGGGCAGAGAACTGCTCTCCTGGAGCGGCTCCTGTGGTGGAGAGAGTCCCAGGACTCTGGCCCCTGGAGCTCTGTCTCGGCACGAGGCTCTGTCCAGAGGCCTGTGGACAGCCAGGCCCAGCCTCAGCCCCTCACCGTCCCCAGAGCTGCCGTATGAGGATGTGTTTGCTGTGTGGGAGGTGATCTGGGCAGCCCGGCACATCTCCTCGGAGCACTTTGTCCTGTTCATCGCCCTGGCCCTGGTGGAGGCCTACCGAGAGATCATCCGTGACAACAACATGGACTTCACTGACATCATCAAGTTCTTCAACGGTAGGAGCCACTCGGCCATCCCAGCTGCCTCAGCAGGGCCGTGGGGGCCTCCACTCCCGGCTGGCACAGGGTCTGGGGGGCCCTCGGGAATACTGGCCCCTGCCCCATAAGCAAATGTGGCAGCGGAGCAGGGTGGGCAGTCCCAGGGCTCCTCCCAGACTGCTGCCCCCGCTCAGTTATCCATGTCTCCCCCAGAGCGGGCTGAGCATCACGACGCCCAGGAGATCCTGCGGGTCGCCCGGGACCTCGTCCACAAGGTGCAGATGCTCATAGAGAACAAGTGAGGGCTGTGGCCAGGGGGCAGCAGCCCACCAGAGCCTGGGCTCCGGGCCCCTTTGGTCCCACAGAGGGAGGTGCAGGCGCGGCAGAGCCAAGACTGCCCCAGCCCCCAGCTGAGCCACCTGCCCAACCGTATTCCTAACAAAGCGCTTGTGAGCCTGGGATCGGACTCCGGGCAGTGCCGGCCCTTCAGGGCGAGTCAGGGGCCAGGATGCCCTCAGGTCAGGACCGGGGAGGGAGGGGTCAGCCTCAGGGAATGGCTGCCTTGGGGGACACTTACCCTGCTCCCCTCTCAAACACCTGGGGATAGTCCCACTGCCACTGGCAGCCCCAGCCTGGACGGCTCCCCATGGCCTCTCCTGCGGCCCTGGGCAGTTAGGAGGGCTGTAGTTGCCTGGACCCTACCTGGGTGGGTCAAGGGGACTCTGTGCTGTATCTCTTCTGAGCGTCCCTCTGCAGGCCCAGTGCCTGTGCACGCACCAGCCCCAGTTAGAGCAGCCGGAATGGCCGCCAGTTTGGGTGTGTGCCCTGGGTGCAGGAGACCTGGGCTGCATTCCAGGCCCTCCCCTGAGACTGCGGGACAGCCCAACAACATGGGCCCTGGGTGGGAGCAACCCACCTCAGCAGCACTGCCACTGCCTTTGGCCACCCGAGGCGACCCCGTGCACCAACCCCCCCCGGCCTATGCAGTGCACCCATGTGTATCTGTCGTCTCACTCTTACCACCCTGCTCTTGCTTTATGCATTAGATGCATCCCCGAAAACTGTGTATCAGTGATCCTTTTGCCAGCAGAATGACCTGGGATGTGGCAGAAGCACTCGCTCTCCAGGCTGATTCTTTAGGGAGGCAATCCTGTCATGGCCTCCTCTCAGGGACGGGCTCCAGAGGCTGGGGCAGCCCATTGCCTATCCCAGGCATCTGCTGAGTCCCTGAGGTGGAGGGGAGGGTGCTTGGATCTCCCCAGCTTGTCCTTGGTGAGAAGCAAGGCTAGCTCTTCCTTCCACATGCTTCTCAGGATGCCGAGGACGCTAGGGACCCACAAACCCCCTTAGAGGAGCCTCACTCATGGAGGTGCTAGGAAGGGCCCAGCTCCTGACCCCAGGCCTAGTCACACTGCTTGCTCTGTCATCCCCACTTCCCGTCTCATCAATACATGCAGGATAGGCCTTGTTCTGGGGCCAGGAGGCCACTCTGCCCCGGGGTTGGGCCTGCCCAGCTATCACTAAGGTCTGGAGACTTCCTGCATTTGAGAAACATGAGAAAGGGCCCAGCCACCCCTCTGCATCCAGCACAGTCTCCCCAGCCCAGCCCTGCCCCGGGCACTGCACCACCTGTTCGGAGGCCAGCCTGCCCCATTGCCCACCCACCAGGTGAGTCCTTGGCCTCCACCAAGCACAGTGGCCATTGTGTGCCTGCCTTAGTGACTCAGTGGTTTTTTGAGGAGCAGTGTGTGTATGTTTTTTGGCTCAGAAACTATACTCTTCAATGTAACAGACCAATAAACACAGCATTTGGCAATGCTTGAAGCTCTGGTGGCTATTTGTGGGCTGGCACTGGACCGTCAGTGTTTGTGTTGGGGAATTCTGTAAGCTCCGGATTGAGTGGTAAAGAGGGCCAGCCCCACAAGGCAAGGATGGTGAAAAGAGAGAACCAAAGCTTCCAGAAGAGAGGGGCCTTGGCTGTGGAATGGTCCAGGGTGATAGCCAGGCTCTAAGTACCTAGAGAGTTGAAGTAAGTCAGAAAGAGAAAGGCCTAGACTGACCAATGGCCTCTCCAGCCTCTGGATGGCATGTAAGTCCCTGCCCCGCCCCACCCCTTTCCAGCCTTTCTGCCCCCTGAGCTGGAGCTTGCTTGATGGGGAACCTACAAGACCTCCCGGCCTCTCTGGCCTTGGCTCCAGCCCATTGAGCACTGTCTTTGAGATGCCTGCCTCAGGCAGGAGTGTGGAGGGTGTAGTGGCAGGAGAGGTCAAACTCACTGAGGCATGGAGAGTGCTGGACTCAAATAGCAGGTTCCCATCTGCCTTCCCCCGCCTCAGAGGGCCACTGCCCCATCAACCACAGTTCCAGCTAGAGGGCTGCAGTCACCAGCATGTTGTTTGGTGTAGAGGACACTAGCTTTCTGGGCACTAGGGCCTGCTGTCAACTCACTCAGAGCTGCCCAGGCAAGGAAACCAGTTCACACCAGGAACCCTGTGGCCAGGACCTTATAAGCCCCCTCAAGGAAACTCCTCTCCACCCCCTAGCCGACCTTGTAGCCTGGAGCAATCAGAATTCCCTCTGCTGTAACATCTATTCATGATTAAAAACTCTTACCAAAGTAGGTATAGAGGGAACGTATCTCAACATAGTGAAAGCTATTTATGACAAACCCATAGCCAACATAATACTCAATGGTGAAAAGCTGAAAGCCTTCCTGCTAAAATCTGGAAAAAGGATGCCCACTCTCACCTATTCTATTCAACACAGTATTGGAAGGCCTAGCCACAGCAATCAGGCAAGAAAAAGAAATAAAAAAGTATCCAAATTGGAAAGGAAGAGGTAAAATTGTCAGTATATGCAGATAACGTGATAACTATAGAGAGAGAACCCCAAGGACGCCACACAAAAGCTACTAGAACTGATGAACGGAAAGCCCAGAAATAAACCCACACACCTACGGCTAATTAGTCTTCAATAAAGGAGGCAAGAGAATGGAGAAAAGACAGTCTCTTCAGCAAGTGGTGTGGTGGGAAAGCAGGACAGCCGCATGTAAATCAATGAAGTTAGAACACTCCTTCACACCACACACAAAAATAAACTCCAAATGGCTTCAAGACTTAAATATAAGACATGACACCATAAAACTCCTAAAAGAGAACACAGGCAAAACATTCTCTGACATAAATCATACCAGTGTTTTCTTAGGTCAGTCTCCCAAGGCAATAGAAATAAAAGCAAAATAAACAAATGGGACTTAATCAAACTTATAAGCTTTTATACAGCAAAGGAAACCACAAACAAAACAAGAAGGTACGGACTGAGAGAAAATATTTGCAAATGACGCGACCAACACAGACTTAATCTTCAAAATATACAAACAGCTCATACGACTCAACAACAAAAAAACAACCCAATCGAAAAATGGGCAGAAGACCTAAATAGGCATTTCTCAAAAGAAGACATACAGTTGGCCAACAGACACACGAAAAGATGCTTAACATCGCTAATTATAAGACAAATGCAAATCAAAACCACAATGAGGTATCACCTCACACAGGTCAGAATGGCCCTGGTTAAAAGGTCTACAGTCCAATGCTGGACAGGGTGTGGAGAAAAGGGAACCCTCCTACGCTGTTGGTGGGAATGTAGTTGGTGACGCCACTATGGAAAACAGTACGGAGGTTCCTCAGAAAACTAAAAATAGCGTTGCCATATGATCCAGCAATCCCACTCCTGGGCATATATCCAAAGAAAATTCTAATTTGAAAAGACACATGCACTCCAATGTTCATAGCAGCACTATTCACAATAGCCATGACATGGAAGCGACCTAAATGTCCACCAACAGATGAATGGATACATAAAAGGTGGTACATGTATACAATGGAATACTACTCAGCCATTTAAAAAAATGAAATAATGCCATTTGCAGCAACACGGATGGACCTAGAGATTATCATACTAAGTGAAGTCAGACACAGAAAGACAAATACCATGTGATATCACTTATACATGGAATCTAAAATTTGATACCAAAACAGACTCACATAGACAACAAACTCATGGTTACCAAAGGGGAAGGGGGGTGAGGGAGGGATAAATTAGGAGTTTGGGATTAGCAGATACAAACTACTATATACAAAAATAAACAACAAGGGACTTCCCTGGTGGTGCAGTGGTTAAGAATCCGCCTGCCAATGCAGGGGACACGGGTTCAATCCTTGGCTGGGAAGCTCCCGAGTGCTGCGGAGCAACTAAGCCCGTGCGCTGCAACTACTGAGCCTGCGTTCTAGAGCCCGTGCTCTGCAACAAGAGAAGCCAACGCAACGCAACGAGAAGCCTGCGCACCACAACAAAGAGTAGCCCCCGCTCGCCACAACTAGAGAAAGCCCGCGCACAGCAACGAAGACCCAACGCAGCCAAAAAATAAATAAATAAAATTTAAAAATAAACAGCAAGGCCCTACTGTATAGCACAGGGAACTATATTCAATACCCTATAATAAACCATAATGGAAAAGGATATGAAAAAGAATGTGAAAGAATATCTACATGTATGTGTGTGTATGTGTATATATATTTGAATTGCTTTACTGTACACCAGAAACTAACGTGACATTGTATGTAAATCAAGTATACTTAAAAAAAAGAAAAAAAAAATCCCTCTGCTGTGACACCACCTGAAAGTTCACCAAAGGCCCCTGATAACTTGCCTGGAAAGTGGCTGGTTCCTTCACACACTCCCACCTCTTCTCTGCTCCACCCAGAAGTGCTGGCACTCCCAGACCCCAGACTGAGCTTCTAGGGCCAGAGCGAATCCCACAGCCAAAACGATGGGTCTGCTGGGGGCTGTGTGTGGAAAGAAGTAGCAGGAAGCATGAGTAAGGTACTATAGCCCTCAGCTGAAACTGCGTCATCACGGCCAGGGGTAGAGTCTTCTTCATCTTTGTCCCCAGTGCTGGGCACAGCATCTGACACTCAGTTTACGTTAACCCTTACCCCAGGCCTTCCCTAAAGTGGAAGGGACCGACCACTTCCTGGAGCTACCAGCAGAGGGAGCAAGCATCTCACAAATGAAAGGACCTGGCGGGTTGCAGGGTAGTGGGGAGGAGCACCGAGCCCGGCCTTTCTTGAGGTCGGGTCTTCAGAGAACGGGACCCTGCGGCATTGGTGGCCACCAGTCCCTTCCCCATGGTGACATCCCCACGTGCATCCTCAGACCCACCCCAGGAAGAGGAGTTGAGTCAGTTGTCCGGGCTGCAGCTGGGAGGGGCCCGTGTCAGGGAGTTAGAGCAGTGGCCTGCGGGTCTACAGCTTAGCCCAGCTGACTGCTCCCTGATCTCACTCTCCCTTACCTCCCCACCTACCAGCCTGCCCAATGGGTGGCTTCTCCTAAACTGGGGAGAAAAGATGTCGTTACAAGGACCAAGGTCTTCAAGGCTCAGCCTAGGACATGGCTCTTTGACCCCTGACCTCCAACTTCATCTTCTTGTTCCTTTCCCTGAAAGGACAGCCTTATAGGCTCCCCAGATGACCTGTCCTAACTACAAGTACACCCTGTCTCAGGAAGCCCTCCTGTGAAAGGATCCTCCAGCTTTCCCATCGCAACTTTCTGGAGTTCAGGATCCCCGACTCCATGACAGACCCGGGACAGGGTGGCACGTGCCTGGGGACAGCTCTGCACCAGCTGAGATCGGACTGCAGCTCCACAAGGTCCCCGGCTGGTCATGTGACCTTAGCAAGTCACTCAGCCACCCCGAACCTGTTTCCTCATCTGCTATTTCTTGGCCTATTTTCTTCACCGAGCTGTTAGGAGATGAAACAAGATAGTGTTGGTAAAAATGGTTTGAGGAAGTGTAAAGTATTGCAAAAGCATGAGGAAGACCAGAACTGCAGTTCTCAGAGCTTGAGGATTGAGCCTTGGGATCAGAACAGTAAGGTCCCTCATCTTTTTTCTAAACTCCATCAGCCTAGAATCTACTTGAAGACTCTGCCCCCAACCCATCAACAGGGAAAGGATGCTACTGCTTCTTGCTGGAGGTCCTTCCCTGAAGGTCTCTGCCTCCTTTTGCAACAAAATGACCCAGATGCTGCAGGTGGCAGCTCTGTCTCGGGTTTCAGTGCAGGTTTATTTCAATTTTATATTTTATTCCAGGCAAGTGCTTATTACATGGATAGTATTCATGTCTCAATACCTAATGTCTTGGAGCATGAACAGCCACTAGAATACAGTTCAATAGTAAAAATACAATATGTACAAAATTAGGGTTTTTGTAGTTTTTTTGTTTGTTTTTTCCCACACAGCAGATGTATCCAAACACATAAAAATCTCTACAGTCTGGGGTCGCTACGATTTATATTTTAGGAAACAGAGACACAGTGACCAAGTCCTCACTGTAAACAAGGGCCACCTCTTTGGGGCATGGGGGTGGGACTCTGGGATGGGGGAAGAAGAAGCTGTTCCTGGAAAGGGCAGGGGTTATGGTGACCCCTAATTCCCTTCCAGGAATTCCCTGCCCTTCTTTGGCCCCCCAAGGAACCAACCTCCCCATCTCCCCGAGGTAAAGACTCCCAGCCAGTGAGCCACTCTGAACATCAAAAAGTAAAACACGCATGAGAGGTAAGATGTGTGTGTGTGTGTTTGTGTGCGTGCGCACGTGCGCACGCATCCCCCAGGCTGGAAGGGCTAGGGAGGGGAGGGGCAGGCGGTCCCACGGGGCGAGGACAGATGTGGTCCTGACAGCTCTCAGGGTAGATGCCCAAGGAAGGGCTGGGTGGAGGCTGCCCTCTTGGGCACACAGCGTCACAGCGTTCACGAAAACAACA